TTATGTGTATTATTCATTTTTATTTTTTATTTTTGTATTAAATTGATTATAACTGTTCTTCTTCCTGTCTTTTAATTTTTTAAAGAATAACAGACAGAAGAAGTCTTTTTTTAATGATTTCTATGAAGTCATGAAAATAGAGTACGATTCAAATTTTAATGTTAAAGTCATGAGATTCAAAAGTGATTTATCAAGATTAATGTAGTATCATACAATAATTAAAGTTGTGGAAGAACTAAGGTGTTATTTCTGTAGTGATTTGGGGGAGGGGGGATGATGGGAGGGCGATGATTTAGAGAGAAGAGTAAATGGATCTGAGGGTAATTTTTTTGTTGTTTTTTTGAGTGGATTTGTGAGTAATTGAGAGTGGATTTGAAAATAAAATTTCTGAGAATTAGTGTAAAATTTGATTGATGTGACTGATTTAAAAAATTAGTTTAATTGGTAGAAATTAAAAATTACCAAAATGTCCCTAATTATTAAAGTAATATAAAATGTTATTTATTAATGTTATATTTAATTGTAAAAGTATTTATAAAGAGACCAAAATTATAAATAATTTTTAAAATTAATTTTTAAAAATTTTTAAATATAGTATTTGTTTGTAATATAATTTACTAACAAGCTTCTTTGTCTTCTCGATCGAGTTCCACGTTGGGCCATCAAGCTTCCTCTCGGTTCGGCCATCAAGCTTCCTCTCGATCTGTTCAACTTGGCCGAGTTTAACCTCAGGCTCCGACTCATCGGACCATCTTCTGCAACAATGCGAGGCCAATTTTACTATCCGAGTCAAGGTTCAATCGTTTTCTCTCTCTGGTTTATTATTTTTTGTTTCATTTCGTGTTTGTATTTTTGTGATTGGTTGATGCTTTTGCTTGATTGTCTAATGGTTGAGGATGCTTGTTCAATGTTTGCTTGAGTGATTTTCTTCACTGTGGAAGGCAAGATTAGTGACAGGGCTTATTCCAGATACACACAGGAAGCGAAAATCGAATAGCATGGAGGTGGAAGCGAAGACACATTTCCCTTTGCGAATACATAAAGCGAGAATCGAATACCATGGAGAGGAACGAATACAACGACAGCAAACCGAATCTCACAGGAGGGGAGCCAAATATAGTGGTGGAGGAACCGAATACCCATTAAGCTTTCTTGCTTGAGGTGGAACCGCATACAGTTCCCAAGAACCGAATACCACCATGTTTCTCCTCTTTTGCATCTTCATTCTTCGTCTTCAACCTCTATTTTCTTCAATTTCATCATCAACCTCATTAACATCAAGCCCCTTCTTGATCTTCATCTCCTCGGAATGGCTCCAACCTGCAAAAACAACAAAAAAATTCACAAAAAAACCATTAGATTATATGACCTCATTTGCTGCTCTCAACCAACAAAGTAAATATATATTTTAACGTGTTAATTTTTTTCATGGTATTTTAAAAAGTTATGAGGACAAAAATGATATTTTGTTGAAAATCAATACAAATCGCTCCAAGATAGCGAGATGGTAGAGGGATCTCGCAAATCATCACAATTTCATCTTTGTAAATCATTGCAATTCAACTAAAACGAACAGTAAATATCGCAAATCATTTCTCGTTTTTTCTTTCGAATAGTAAATTCCACACAAGCGAACGGAGAACGGAGAGTGAGTTAATATTGTGCAGTGATTAGACGACTTTTTCCAAAATCAAAATTATACTCAAATCGTGTAAGAATTGGATAACTTTTATCAAATAAGATATACTAAAGTCCTGCGGAGGTTGACACTCTTCATTTTCAATTAGCTTTATAGCTTAGTTATTATTCATTTTTTATTTATTTTATTTATATAAATGTGAGTTAATAAAATGATTAAACTTGCTTTTATTGTATTTTAAATTTTATATAATCATTTTTTCCATTTTAAATATTTATTAAATCATGTAATTTTTTAATTTGCTTTGATTTTAACTTTATTGTGTGAATAATTTCTCTTAATAAATGTGTTAAATTTGTGTGTAACAATTGTTTTTTATAATATATAAATAATTTTCAACTTTGACTAGTAATTAAAAAATTAAATTTATAGTTTATAACTATTTTGTACTTTTTAATATCTTCTTCTAAAAAAAAACTTTATAATAAATTTTTAAAAAAAAAAACATTAAAATGGATAAAAATATATAATAAAAATCCGAAATGATTTATAATTGTAATAATAATTTTACTATTTTTTGTTTTCATAAATAAAAGTAGACTCAAGTATGTACGTAATATATATATTTTCACTTGTATGTATAAAGAAAAATTAATTGCAATATGTTTGCATGCTTTACTTGTATTTCATGTAAAATATGAGATGTGTTACTCAGAAATGAAAACCATATTTTCAATTAAAATTAAGTAAATTATACATATCTTATACATATTAATATCATTTAAAATTTGAGTGATTGTAGGATAAAGGAAAGGGTTTTTTTGTTGTGATAAATAATTGGAAACATTTTAAAAGGTGGGTAAATAGTTATCATTTTTTTTTAAATTCTTAAAATTATACGCGAGAGGTAAACTGAATTACCATTAATCAGAATTTGAAATTTTTCTTTAAAATTCTAATATCATGATTCGCCTTTTCTATTTTTTTCTCAGATGTTGAAATTGACTAGGACAGAGAGATATTATTGGCTTAATTACTATTTGAGAGTTAAAATCTCAACATTATGATTATGTAAATAGCAATAAAAATAAATTTTACACTAAAATTTCAATGATAATTCACAAAAATCAATAAAAAAATAAAATAAATTTAAATTTAATCTATTTGAATCTTTTATAAAATAAAAAAAATTTAGGTAAACGGACAATAACGAAGACTTAACTAACTATTGGGAACTGTTCAAAACAATTAGAATGATTATTGTCAAGAATGGACCCCAATTTTCATAAATAAAAAAAGTTAAAAAAATAAAATAAAAGCACAGTGTGTGTGTCGTAACAAATCTAATTATGAATTGGGCGTTAGATACAGTTTGTTTTCAAAAGTTAGATTGACAATCAGTGAAGCACTGTGACCCACATATAGGTTAACTGTTTAAACCAACTAATCATTTCATTGCGTAATACTTTTTTATATTTAATATTTTAATTTCGTGTTTCTTCTAATTTAACGAAATATTTATGACGTCATTTGATTGGAGCAATCAGTTTAAACGGCTGCAATTAAAACTGGACTTCCGCCGACCACACTCTTCCAACCAATTCTAACAACGTTGAATGGTACATATAAGTTGAAGGGTCAGACAAATAAAAAATAATAAAATTTGTAATAAACATTCTCGTTTATCGTAATTTGACGTGAAACTAATTAATGAAAAAGAGTTGTGCAATTCCTATAAATGGAAAAGGAAATAGTTTATATAAACTCTCGTGTAAATCTTAAATTATAATTATATAAGAAAAACTATTAAATGATAAAATTTATCATAATTACCGTAAAAGCCTTATTCGCTGTAAATTTGTATTGACTGTAATTTATTTTAACGTTTTACGCTATTTGATATACAGAACTTTTAGCTAAATTAAATTACTTTTTGATGTCCAACTGGTAAAACTGAGAAGTAATATGATAACATTAAGAATCGAATCAAACGTACCATTTAAATATAATATCGTATGACAATAGTTAATTAGCAATTATAAAACGTATATAAGACTTTTTACCACTTGAATGTATTTATAACATTTTTATATTTATCAAAATATATTAATAAGTTTATAGTATAATTTTTAATTATAAGGTTATGTAATTTATTCACAAATAAAGAAAACATTTAAAATTATGAATTTTATAATAATTATAAAACAATTTACAACATTTTTATTGGATAATTTTTATTATAACATATTTAATTTTTTAGTATAAAGTATATTGCAATTATATTTACAAAAAAATAAAAAATTCATGTCAGGGAATACCACATAAAAATAACTTCAATTGAAATTCAAAATATTTTTCGTTTCATTTAAATTTTATATTAAATTAAAATTTAACCAAATCAAATCATATGTAATTTTTACATTTACTTTAAGTGACTATTTAATAAAAGCTCCTATAATAAGACATGAAAAGTGTTTATATAGCCCATACAATACTATTACACAAACCAAAATCATAATGTATACAGGAAGTCTCGAGAAAGATAAAGTTGAGGTTTTTTATAAGCAGATGAAGTTCATTATGAATGTTTTTACGTAATTGTATGCTAATTGCATTCGTAAATATTTATTCTTCCTTAACAATGAAATCCAAAAATGACCGTAATGTTGACTCTTTTCTCATATAACCAGTGTCTATTATTGCAATTTCCGAGGCTAAGTTACAAGAAAAGTGCGCCATGAATGATGCCACATTATCCATGGTTCCTTCCACTGCAGGTCAAGCTCACGACCAAACCAACTAGTCATAATTCTGGTCGTTGATGCTTCATCATATTAATGATAGCGTACATCACAGACTACCCATTAATTAATGCTACAAATACATGTTCATTTTGTGTTGACCATCGTTACCCTCGGACAGAGAAAGCTTACAAGCTTACAAGCTTCCAATCACACCACATGCAAGCAACAAAAACCTCATTTTAATTCAGTAGCACGTCCCTAACAATACACACTTAATATTTTGGGAAAAAATATTATTTAATATAATTTATTATATCATTAAGAAGAGTTTTGAAATTGATTCCTGTTTAACTTTTACCTAAATCAAAATCGTGATCCCCGGCTAGAAATAAGGATAAGAAGAAATGAAAGAAAGTGTGACATTGAGTGGGTTAAGGAAAAGGATAAATGTGGCAGACATAAGTCAAATTTCGAAGTGACATTGTAACAGACACAAAGGGCAATACTGATCTAAAACGAGAACAACCAAGTCCACCATTATGTGCGTCACAAGATGTAGCGGTTTAACAAACATCAATTCTTTACCAAACGTGCCCTTGACGTAGGTTTTCAAATCCCAATATAATGCAACCCAAACCCAAACTCTTTTACTTCAACTCAATCTAAGTCACACTCCTTTTCATTGTCAGAGATGGGGAACCAGGTCTCACTTCGTCCCTCAGATGCCAGGGGCAAAATCGTCTTGTGGGACGGTTCCGTGCATGAAATTGAGCAATCGGTGACGGTGGCGGAGCTCATGCTGGAGCACCCAGAACAGGTGGTGGTTGAGTTGCATTCGGCAGTGAACCAGAAAAGGCCAACGCCATTGCCGGCTGATAACAAGTTAGAAACAAACAAGGCGTATCTGATGCTTCCCGTGAGGCGAGGGAAGCCCGTTGGGTTAAGCGGGGAAGAAGCTCGACGCATTCTCTTCATCCTTAATTCTGCTCTGCATTCAAAGTCTCTTGTGGGGTCGTCAAAGTTTGTTCCTTGGCTTACGCGTTTGTGCCAGAACACTACGATTGTGGAACCAGGGAGAAAGGAAGAGGAAAGAGAGAATAACGAAGAAAGGTGTCAGTTTTCAGAGCTTCTGCCGGAAATTCTAGAAGCGAGGCCGGAGTATTTGAATAGGCAATTGTCGGGAAAAGGGTGGAAACCTACTTTGGACACCATTAAGGAGAAGAACATTGACAGAAAACACACTCATTGGTTGTTCCTCAGGACTTTCTAGTCCTGCACATTTAACCTCTACCAAACTTTAGTTTCACTTGGAGTTTCATTTCGATGATCTACTCAAAATTTGCAGACACGGTTAAATAGATTATCGAAATTAAACTCTCCCACTTGTTAAAAGAGTTTTTGTTTTTGAGTATAGTTCATCAATCGGTGAAAATGTTGTGGTGCCTTTTCGCGGTATGTATTCTGTGACATATACCCAATGAAATCGTCAATTACTTACAAAGTTCAGACTTGTAATTTTGCTCAGATCAATACAACTTATATCAATATTGTAGAGTTAACATGGAATGCAGTTAAAGATATTCTTCCATAACATTTATTTCTCTTTGCTCCTTTTCTTTATGATTTAACTTTGCAGTGTAAAAAACTTGTTCTCATGAGAGCTACAAAGAAAGAGTTGAAGAAGCTAATTTATAATTGTTTATTAACCAGATTTTTTCTATTAGATAATGAGATTAATTCTATGTCCTACTGTTATAAAATATTTTCATATTGAATCTATCAGAAATTATTATAAAAGTTAACAAATATATTATGTATAACGTAATTTGTAAATAACCAATATATAAGTTTTTTACATGGCATGGCCTGGTTTGCGAAAATTATTTGGAAATAATGTTATATAAATCAAAAGGTAAATTTTTCAAAAAGATATTTGTATGCCGTTAATTATAGGGTATAACTATTCAAATTAAACATGACAAAGACACATTAGGGGTTGACATTATTTGGCTTTTATGAAAATAAAAATAAAAATTAGGCTATGCATTTCATGGAATCAGAAAAAAGAAAGTTCAATTTTAAAGCTATACCACTTTGTTTTATAAAACTGGATTCAAAATCATTTTAGATCTTAATCTTGAAACTAGCTCTCTTTTCTTTCCTTTCAAAACTAATATCCTTCCAATTTTTTTAATATATATCACAAATAATTTATTTTAATTTTAGTATATTTTGTGTATGTAGTATTCCCAAAAATATTGTATATTTATTTGACACTCAAAATATTTATAAAGATTTGTTACTGTTGTTGAGGATGTAAGTGTTTGAGGAGGTTAATATCCTTTCCATTTTTGCACATCATGTACCGACTCCGAGTATGTGTTTATAAAATTCAAGCTTCATAAAATTTTAATAGGTTTTACTTAGATTTGATATTAGAAAGGATGATCAAAAGAAAACCTCTTATAAATATATCTCTTTAAATGGGTTTGACTTGAAGAGTGTTTATATAACTTATCATTCACGTTAGGAAACTTCAAAAACAATGTTAAAAAAGAAACAGGTTTTTTTGCCTTGTTCAATGTTCATATAGATTGAAGCCTAATTGATCAATTTATTTATGAATATACTGATATGCACTTATTAAATGTATCACTAAGCGTAATCTTTCTGTCTAATTATGTTAAGTAAATAAAATGTTAAATTCTCGTTTAGACCAATTAGTAAAAACATTCAGCGAACAACATCTACAACGTGTATATATTGTGGTACTTTGATTAAAATGGTGAATTTTATAGTGATATTTATTTGTTTTAATTACATATATGTCATAAAAGGTGAGACATGTTAATATGATTATGTCATAAACAAACTATAATTTCTTTTAATTTTTAATTAAATAAAAAATAACTCGTTGACTTAAGGACCTAAGATGGGATGAAATTAAGTACAAAATATATATAAGTCAAGTTAACCCATAAATTAAACCGACCCAAACTGGTAGCTACTTTTAACGACCCTACTTATAACGTCTCAAGCCTTCTACTTTAGCATTTGAGGAAACTATATAAACAGGAAAATTGGTAAAATTCCACGACTAATTAAATGCTGCACTAGAATCTGATGGTGACAAAAATTTAATTAATTTTTTTGTAACTTAGTATTTTAGTGTTATTGGGAAAAATGAGAAAACTGGCATGTAGATTATTCTTTAAAACAAATAAGTTCAAGTATAACCAAAAACAAGCTCCCCGGTCCTGGGTATACCCGGCCCAGGGTATACCCGGCCCATTAACCAATCAACCAGACCCAGCATACACAAACCAAGCTTAATACAATTTAGTTAAAATATATTTACTTAAGTCCATTAGATTTGGATATTTTTTTACTTATAGTTGGGTATGGTGAAATTTAATATTATGGAACTGATAAATATTCTGAATTTTCTCGATTTTCATAGTTGTATTCATAGGAATATATTAAAACAGTATCAAATATCAATTGAAAAGATATCTTAAATTTTGTCAATTAAATGTGCATAAAAATTATATTTAAAGAGTATAATATATTAGGTTAATTTTTATTCTGCTTTGGATGAAGTCAAATGTATAAACATGATTTCATATTTGAGTGAACGCTATTTTGCATAACCTCTATTACTTTATATTTAAAACATGTATCCTAGATTTTAAATTTGCATACGAAATTGAAAGCGCATGTTTTCGCAATTACAAATGTTTTGTTTCTCCTTCCTTTGTATTACGGGCTCACCATTTTTTTCTTAAATCTGAAGCAAAGTTACGTAAATTTATAGGACACAAAAATGATTGTGATTTGTTTGCTTTAATTTTTGGGTCCATGGAAAAGTGATTATGATTGCATATGCAAAAAGGATTGCAGAATAAAACATTACAAGCCTGGTAATAAGGTTGAAACATCTTTCAGTATGGGTTGGCAATGGACAACACCAACAACAACGTATGATGACCGTCCAAAACAGACAAAACAAATAAGGAAAATGATACTTGAACAACCATTTTTGACAACATTTAGACACGCGCACACGTGTCTAAATTTAAGTGGTCCAGTTGGAAAAATTAAATGAAAATGGACCACTCAAATTTAGACACGTGTTCGCGTGTCTAAATGTTGTCAAAAATGGTTGTTCAAATGTCATTTTCCAACAAATAATGAACAAAGAGTTAAACGTTCTTAGTTACATACAGTAACATATGACAAGTGTGATAAATATTTATTATTTATTATTTATTTTTATTTTTAAATTTGTATTTATTTATGATTAATGTGATTTCTTTACGGAAAATGTAATATTTTTTTTGTTTTGTTCATTTTTAGGTTAGTTGTTCATTTTTAAATTATTGTAGAGGAAAGTGAAAATTTAATTAGAACATAATCTTCCAGTTATAGTTTATTCGCTCANTTGTATTACGGGCTCACCATTTTTTTCTTAAATCTGAAGCAAAGTTACGTAAATTTATAGGACACAAAAATGATTGTGATTTGTTTGCTTTAATTTTTGGGTCCATGGAAAAGTGATTATGATTGCATATGCAAAAAGGATTGCAGAATAAAACATTACAGACCTGGTAATAAGGTTGAAACATCTTTCAGTATGGGTTGGCAATGGACAACACCAACAACAACGTATGATGACCGTCCAAAACAGACAAAACAAATAAGGAAAATGATACTTGAACAACCATTTTTGACAACATTTAGACACGCGCACACGTGTCTAAATTTAAGTGGTCCAGTTGGAAAAATTAAATGAAAATGGACCACTCAAATTTAGACACGTGTTCGCGTGTCTAAATGTTGTCAAAAATGGTTGTTCAAATGTCATTTTCCAACAAATAATGAACAAAGAGTTAAACGTTCTTAGTTACATACAGTAACATATGACAAGTGTGATAAATATTTATTATTTATTATTTATTTTTATTTTTAAATTTGTATTTATTTATGATTAATGTGATTTCTTTACGGAAAATGTAATATTTTTTTTGTTTTGTTCATTTTTAGGTTAGTTGTTCATTTTTAAATTATTGTAGAGGAAAGTGAAAATTTAATTAGAACATAATCTTCCAGTTATAGTTTATTCGCTCAAAGTATATTCTTTCACTCAAGTGAGCATGATTAGTTAATAACAAAACAGTTGATTTTTCGCCTAATGAATGAATGAATGTCTGCTCACTCAACAAAAGATTAATTTCTATAAGTGGTTATTTAGTCGAGAAAAAAAAAGAAAAATAGTCTAATTGTGGAAACATGTAGAAATGCATGAATTGATCAGAAGTTATTCTAAAGCATCAAAACGTCGTTTTTCATCAATTTCTATCAAACTTGTATATTTTAGATTATTAGGAGTAGTTAAACTCCATTTTCATTAAGATTGGATGTAATGTACTTAAGCTTATGTACTAAAATCTTGTTCATTCATATGTTTTTTCTTAAATTTAATGTTTATGTTTGAAAACTTCATACATCTGAATGTTTCAAACTATTGGGAAGTGATTTGAAACATAGACATAGATAAATCACCCCGGAGAATTGGATATAGGAATGATTTCAAGTTCTCTTGGTCATTGTAGATGGACTCAATGCAAATTGAATGTTAAATGGTTTAAGGAATTAGTAATTTAACATATAGATTTAAAACATGTTTCTAAAAAATTAGGACTTATAAACTTTTGATATAAATATTTCAATGAAATAGAGATAATTTATGTGGAATAATTAGATTCTTTGATTCATAAGAAATTTTAATGGAATCATTTCACAGTTTGAATAGTTTTAATGATTGCAATTTATTTTAATACATTATTCTGAGTTGTATTAAAATTATAATTATCAAAATTATAATTAGTAAATTAGCATAAGACAACCAAACATAATTTTTTTTTAAAATGAAAATTGTTCTAACCAAGAATCATGGGAACTCCTCTCTTTTTTTTCTCATTATCACCCTTTTAAAAGAATTATTCTAATATGAATATCTTTCTTTTTATTGTCAATATTTATGATATTTATTAATAGGATACTCCTTTAAAATCATTTAAAGTAATTTAAATGTTATATCATAATTTGCTTATTAAACAAAAGAAACATACATAAACATAATTAATATAATAATATAAGAGACTAATTTTAAATCGTCAAATTAATTTATAAAATTTCAGCTTCTATTATGAAACTCCCGTTCTAAACAGATTTTATTATAAAATATTTCAAGATTTCTTCTAAAAGTAAATTATTCACCGAAAATTATTCAAAGATATTTATATTAATTTGTGATAATTTTAAAACTATTCTTGAACAAAAAGCATTCTACATTTTTCTGCGCATTTTTAAGAATTTACTAACACTGAAAAGCCATTCGGGCCGGCTCCTGACAACATCGTGATCTTCTGTTCCCAGTAATGCTCTTTTTTCATGTGTTTGTTTCCTTTGATCCCTTCTATTCATTTTGGTTTTTTTTTTTGAACTTTGGGTCTCTGCAATGAGTACGGTTAGAAAGTTGAAGTAATCACTCAAATATG